CGCGTCGCTGTATGTACCGGAACGCATCAGTCGATATTTGGTGGCCCACTGTGCCATGGGGCCTGTGAACGCCAACGATGGCGCAACCTTGTAGTCGTCATCCACGGCCGACCTCTCGCATTTTGTCACCGGGCTTCTCGGGCCATCTCCCTCGCAGTTTCTTGAGTACATTCGAGGGCTGACGTAAGTGAATTTGTTCCTTGTCGATGCAGGATTCCGGAAGAGCCCCAAATGGACGGAATAGGCCGACGCTCACATGGGAGCGCACAGTCAGGGTGTGCTTGTGCTGACTCTCGAAGGGTTATCGTCCAAAGCCTCTTCAAAGGTTCTTTGTGTTACCAGTACCACATCCCCGGTCTCCGCCACGCTGCACGAGCGGCTACACCCCGTGTCCAATTCCGAACGGTGCCCACCCTGCACGACATCCATCGCCGAAGCGCGTCGGCACTGTTATCATACTCGCAAACGAAGCAGCCAGAGGACGAACAACTCATATGTCTCGGAATTTTATCTTCTGCAGATCGGCAGCTACTATCTCTTACGCGACAGACCGACTCCAAACGACGCTAGAATACGTCTCTGCTCCGTCCACGCCTACCCCGGTCTTTCACACCAACAATCTCCCACAGCCACGATGCGGGTAGTCAAAAACGGATCATGTTGTTGGCTTGCTAGCATGGCACTGTATCTTCACTAGCGTGACCCCGGTTACAGCTGGCCACCGAGACTACGGTTGGTGGTGTCCATTCGCCCAATCGATACTGATCCATTGTAGACGAGAGCATCAGAAGTCGACGTTGACGATCTATCGAACCTGCTCAGTCTGAGCATTAATGTACCTGCACCATCGTTCCCGGAGAGCATCGTTCCGCTGTTTCAACGTCAAGCACAACAGAGGGTCAAGTTTATGTGCTTAAGTTGCAACACGTTCTACAGCAGTCTTCGCGCATAGGGTTCGTTCAGGAGACGCAAACACGTGAATATGGGCACATACGTGTCGCGTATTATACGTGAGCCGGTGGATCTCGCACTAAGACTATTGCCAGATGCCCGGAGAAGTGCAGCCCGTGAGCCCCGATTGACACAGCTGCGTTGACGCCGGCTTCATGCGGAAAGGACTGATTTACACGACATATCCGAGGAACACAAGCATTGGCAACCTTGTGCAATTGTCAACTCAGTGCAGCCCAAAACGTTCGACTTGTTGTCGATAGATCATTTGCTAAGTTTCAGCGCAAAGCGCAAAGGCTCACGTTACGCTCGTCTTATTTGACTTGTCCCCACTATACACTTAGGCGGTCTTCAGATTGGCAGCTGTCCTACAAGAGAGTGTATTACCAGTCTCGGCATATCAGCACTTCTGAATTTGACGAGAATGGTATCAAAGGTACCAGCAGGACGATACTCAATTTCCACGATGGTTGTTCGATTTCTAGATGTGGAAACCCCACCACGTGAAAGCTGCTGATCAGTACCGCATCAGTAGCATGCAGGATCGGCTGCTTGCCGCTGCCTCCAATTGCCTCAGCCCGATTAGCTCTCGCGTATGCATAGCTACTTCCCTGAAATAATACGCGGGGTCCCCACATGTAGTCGCAGATCCAGCCCAACCAGGACCGTGCAGACTTAATACTACACGTTCCGCATGGACTAGGTGGCGATGCTGTTCACTAACCGATGTTCCGGGATCTTTGTTAGGTGCTGGACAAGTATACCGACAGCAAGCCACCTCTTCTACTAAGATCCAGCTCAGCCAGGGATCTCCAATCGCAGCCTGCATGTACTACAAAAGTATACACTACGGGCTAATGCCCCCGACGCATGCAAACGCATGGATGTAACCCGTATACCCATCGGCTAAGAGGGGCCCAGAGAGTGACGATAGACTTGTCAAATGTGGCTTCTTTATCATATGCGTCAGCGTCGCGGTATAAAGGGTCAAAAGCCACGCCAAAGCTCACATATCACCTCGGCATTATTTCCATTCGACAAGTGTGCGATTGCAGCTTTCTGTCGTCTGTCGTCATAGACTCTTCATAGTTCTTGCCTGCACATATCTTTATGACGGTGGGGTCCGGCGAATCTGGCAGGATGACGACCCTCAACGAGGAGTGCTTTCCAAACATGTCGGCTGGCACTGACATCACCGCGTCATCAGAATCGATTAAGGTGAGCAACTACCACCGCGACAAAAAACCTTTCAAATTAACTATTCAAGTCCTTCACAGGAGCCAAGATGGCCTCGAATGGAAAGACCAGTGCTCCGACCCACGTACTGGCGGCTTTCATCGCCCTCAGTCTATCGATCTTTCTAGTAGCACTCGACACTGTGCTCATCCCAACCGCTTTGCCCACGATCTCCCAGTCCTTCCACATCCCAGATTCCCTTTACGCCTGGATAGGATCATCCTACCTTCTCGCCAACGCTTCATCAGTCCCGTTCTGGGGGAAGCTCTCGGACATTTTCGGACGAAAGCCAGTAATCCTGGCAGCCAACGCCATTTTCCTTGGCGGCAGCATCTTGTGCGCCGTCAGTGTGAATGCCGTTATGCTCATTTTCGGTCGTGTCGTTCAGGGTCTCGGCGGCGGTGGGGTGGTGGTACTGGTTCACGTATGCGTCAGCGACCTCTTCACCATCCGGGATCGGTCCTTCTACATGGGTACTGTTGGTGCTGTATGGGCCGTCGCCTCTGCTCTGGGCCCGGTACTTGGCGGCGTCTTTGCACAACGTCTCCATTGGACGTGGTGCTTTTACATCAACATACCCATCATCTCGCTAGCGATCTTAGTGTTGTATCTTACGCTACACCTACACAACCCACGAACGCCCTTTAAAACAGGACTCGCGGCTATGGACTGGCTGGGGACGGTCACGATAATCACGGCTACTATACTTCTGCTAGTAGGCCTCCAAGTAGGTGGCATTAGCTCCTACTCGAACGCAGGAGTCATCACGTGCTTGCTGTTTGGATCACTCGCTTACGTCGCCTTCCCTTTCTCGCAACACTGGGTGGCACAACATGGCGGCAGCCCTATCATGCCACTGCGCATCTTCAAGGACATCAGCAACCTCAGCGCACTGGCCGTATGCGCATGCGACACTGTGGTCTTTACCTCGGTCGCTTACTTCCTACCCTTGTACTTCCAGATCGTGCTCGGGCTCCTACCAGAGATCACAGGCGTATGTATGCTCGCCGTCGCGATACCTTTGGCACTTGTTTCATTCGCTTCTGGTCATGTCATAGAGAAGACTGGGCGTTTCCTAGAAGTACTGCAAGTGGGTCTGTTTGTTATGACGCTCGGTGTCGGCCTTCTCATCTCGCTCGGCACCGCGCCAAGTCTTGGAACTATCGTCGCATTCATGGTCATTATCGGCCTGGGTTTCGGGCCCAACTTTGGCGCGCCGCTCATTGCTCTACAAACGCGCATACAAGAGGCGGATATCGCGGCCGGTACTGCGGCTTTTGGATTTGTACGTGCAATATTTGGTGCCATCGGTCTAGTTATCGGCCAAGTGGTATTCCAACTCCTCATGGCGCCACACTACGAGAAGATTGTCGACAGTGGCATCGCAGACGACGTTGCTCTTAACCTCACTGGGGGCGAGGCGATCTCTCAGAGCGCCGCTATCACTAACCTCACTGAGTTCCAGAAGAGTGTAGTCCGCCATAGCTTCATGAGCGCGCTGAGAGGGACCTGGATTCTCATGACGGTCATCGGCGCCATTGGACTTTTGATCTCGTTCGGTATCAAGAGGACGAAATTGCGTCGAGAAAGGACGACTGAGCTTAAGGAGCTGGAAGTCACATCGAGCGACTGAGCATAGGGAAACAGCTCCCACGCGTGCAACTAATGGCTCGCTCATTGATGCTCAATCATCTGACGCACATAGCGCAAGCGAATCAGTCGCTTTATTCATGACTAGCTCACCTAGTCCCATGTTTCGTGTGCAAATCATTACATATTTGGTCCATTTGAGCGTCTTGAATATATGGGTCGGCGCGGTGCGGCCCCCAACTGCCAAAGCAGCCTCAAGCTCTACCTAAATACACTCGCTAGATATACCACTTCATGTCTTGCAAGACCCCGCATATGGTACATCACGTCTGATCTCGTTTGCGCCGTGTACTTACTTCTTTCTTCGTGCTTCCCTATGCGTCCTCAGCAGCTCCGCCAACGCCTCATCACCCCATCCCGCGTCGCGATAGGTGAAGTAGTCACTTGGCAGAGTCGCAGGATTATTCGGATCTTGCGTAGGTCTGGGCAGCGGCGCCACGAGAAGCGGTTGTGGCTGGGACGGCTGGGACGGCTGCTGTTGAGTACGTGCACCGTGGTCACTCTGAACAGGCATAGGCGGCGTCCACCACGGCTGGGCTTGTGTCGTTGCTGGTGCTGGTCCTGGCAGTGGTCCCTGCGGTATACATACTTGATGTGGGAGAGGGTAAGGTACTAACACACGCTGCCCTGTTGGTGTTACTATGACTTGGAAGACGGGTTGTTCGGGCTGTTGAGCTTGGTCTTGGCCGTTTCTTGGGGGCTGGGGTGGCTGGTTGGGGAACATGCTTGGTTGGGTTTGATACGTTGACGATGGTTAGATGAAGAAGACTATGGGCGGATGTAATGCATAAATTTATATGTATATATGATATGATGGAAAATAACCCGAGCGAAGCAGCGTCTATACGTTGTTCGATGCATAAGCTGTCGCGTGTGGGACGCGTCAAGGATGCGCTGTTGCACCGAAAGCTATGCGGACAGCACGCGCATGATGTATGAGCAAGCTTGATGCGTTGAGGAACTCAACAGTAGCGCCTCACGTATCCCATGAGCTGTGATAGTTTTTTTGTGATATCGCTGTAGTCAATAAACGACGCACAAATGATTCGTTGGACGTTGCAGAATTGTTTGCATTCTTCAAAAGCCGAGAAAATTTTGCTGTGAACTTCCTCAAGCTCCTCTCGTAGGTGTCCGAAAAAGTGATGGCAGGCGTTATCTCAAGCTCAGTCCAAGCTTTCTCCTTTGTAGCCAGGAGAATAACAGTACTTCATCAAACGACGGGAAATCTTGCTGCCACCAGCTCGTGCTGTCCAGCACGTGTCGACAACCCCAATGCGCCGAACCTTCCACTTCGCGACGCCAGTGTCGAAACAAGCCTTCAGCTTCACACCGGTCCTTTTCGAGAGCTCAGAGGCGAAGATAATCTTGTTAAGACAATGTAGGCGGTATTTATCAGGAGCTTTTTCCGTTTGGCCTGGTCTCATGATGAACTTGATCAGAATCTCATGCTGCGCATCATCTTCGTCTTCAGTGGTACTGGTGATAGTGTTCAATCCTTTGGGTACCGAGGTGATGTTGATGCCATCCAGGCCTATCAAGCTGATAACATTATCCTGTGACCAAGTGCGAAACGTTCTTGCCATATCCCGCATGATCTTCAGCTCATCGAAGTCATCCGGATCGGTGGGCATGATCAAGGCGTCTAGAGCTTCGCTTACAGTTGTTGGAGTCAGCTGAAGATGAAATCTTGAACTGGTTTCCCGAAGCTTCAACAAGGAGAGAATATCAACACCATGTTGAGGGAGTGGTGCGCTGCAGCAGATGGGCTCCACCCATCCTGCTACCTCGCCGTCTTTATCTGGTCGATGGAAGATGTTGACGTAGTCGTTGATGGTCTCAAGCGCGGTACGGACTCGACGCTTCTCTAGAAGCCAAGGGGTAAACTCATTCCGAATCTGGCGGCAGGTTTGAGTGAAGCCCCAATATGAATGCGCGAAGTTTGTCGGACAAGCTATGCCGCGAACAGAGCGCCGAGGTACGCCTTCGGGGTAGTGGCGAACGTTCAAAATCTTCTTCTCTTCGTCGGTCATGGCGTATTGATATATCAAATTGCGGACTTCACCCGGTAGATCACCCCAGGGTGCATTCTGAGTACCTGGCTTCTTTGGTGGATACCGACGAGAATGTGAGCGCGGCACGTATTGGGCTTCCTCGTCGCTCTCATCGTCTGTCTCTTCCTCTGATACCCAACCAAGCCAAGGACCCAATCTATCAGCCTCTGCCCTGACTTTCTCCTCGAAGCTTGTCTTTCGTCGGTGGGTGCCTGTGGTTGTTGATTTGGTGATGCGCGCACCCTGTACACGAAGCTTTTCGCTCAAATTGGCAGACTGAGCGGCATACCATGAAGTTCGTAAATCACGGACACGATTGCGGCTGGACCTGGCTCTGGGCATTTCATCGTCGGTAAGTTGAGCTACGGCATCCTTCCGCGATCGCTTTTCGGGAGGCGCGTTGTAGTCGGCAAGGTTTGCAAGCTCCGCAGCAATATTCGTGGGCTTCTTATGCCCGCGCTTTGGGTAAGGAAGTGGTATGTCATCACCACGACTGCGCCTGGCACCCCTATCTTGACCGCTTTCATTCTGGGAAACTGCACGTGTCTCCTGAACGTCGCGACGACTGCGCTTTCTGGGCAACTGCGAAGGCGCGCAGTCCTTCTCGGCTTGATGTTTGCGCTTTGAACCCATCACGTTCGCTGTAGGTAGGAGTTACTGGAGGATACTGATAATTAGAGGAATTCACTGCGTGATGTGAAAGGATGTGGGCGTATAGTCAGGGTTGACACAGTTATGAGATCTGGTGGAGCGTTCCGTGCGGAATGGGTGCCTAGTATTGAAGAACACTCAACCATGGATTGAAGGGGAAACGTACGTGCGTTCACAACTCTTTCATTGACTTATATGGATTAGCTCGGATTTATTGTTGTCGTCCATAGAAATTACTGATTGCACCAGGTCGGTATAGTTGTTGTCGCAATGGGGGCCTGTATGATCCATGGCGATGTGTGTGCGGACCTGGCTTTCAGTGGTACCGAAACGCGACACCACCACAGGCGAGTTTGCAGCCGATGACCCCTACGATACTATTTCATGTTAGCATCGTGAGGCTGATATGACTACGCCGTTTCTGTCCTATCATCCTGGATCAAGTTGCAATATCACAGCGTGACAGTCGGTGGCCGAACCATAAGAAGGCCGCGACAGCTGGAGGCGTCCTCATAGCTGGAACGCGACGTCTGTGAAGAAGAAAACGTGTCGCGAGCTATTCGAGTTCCTTACAACCCGCTAGGGTGCATTCCTTCTTGTTTTGTCGAGCCCCAGCCGACGCGAAGAAGAGCTGATAACGGTCGCGGTCAGGTTGTCGCGAACGCGGCGGCTCCAGCCCCTTCCCACAACAACGGATGTCGTTGTGTGCGCGACCGCGCTTGCCAGGTGTTTGCACTAAGCAGCAATAGAAGATCTTAAACGAGATCAAGATATCTAAACGCGACGAAGATGTCCAAGAAGTGCTCGGCTCGAGATGAAGGAGTGTTGAAGTCAAAGCTGATCGGCATTTTGCCAAGCTAAATAGCGTCATCGCGGTTTTCTTCTCCTTCCCTCCTCTAGACGCAACCTTGGAAACATACCACCTCGCTTTCGTAAACATTGGCCCGGCCCCGAAGCTACCAGGCTCAGACATGTACTACGCGATGCCATTCCTTTTCGAGGTCTCGATGCGCCTCGTCACGTGAGCAACCTTGGAAGCCACCGTTTAATGTGTGGTCTGTGATCAGTAAACCCAACACCGAGCCTCGGGTCGCCTCACAATCAGCCAATCAGAACCGCGCACTCCTTTACAGCTCAGCTCTTCTTCACTTCATGGCAGTTTCGTAGAGGATGCGAGTAACTCAATATGGCAGGACTTGGTAGTGCGCCGCGCTTGCTCTCGGCCGTAAGTCTGAACGCGTGCGGGGAGCAGGACAAGCGCCGGGTATATACAGCACATATCCTCTCGTTGTGAAGTATAGTGGAGGATATCCCTGGTGCCTTACACAGCAGCCTGACTTAACTCATCGTACTCCTAGCATGAACCACGATTGCCAGAATGGACATGCGACATTGATCCATGAGACCGAGACTGTCATTGCTGGAAACAACGGAGAAAAGCCCGACCCTGAACATCAATCTCCATGCCAACCCGCCAAATTCGAGGATGAACGACGCTGTAGTGAACGGCCGGCTAGCGAGGATGGATCGTTCACCAGCCCCGTCGACCCGATGAACTGGGATGGTCCGGACGACCCTGAGAACCCGCACAACTGGTCTTCATGGAAGTTGGCTTATCATACGATGATACCAGCCCTCTTTGGATTCACTGTGTAAGTCGCAAGATAGCGCGTAACACCAGCAAGTACTGACGGCTCAGCACCTTTGGAACATCAGTGTATACACCCGCGCTCGCAGACGTCATGCGTGACTTCGACGTATCGCGCACGGCTGCGCTCATCGGCATAACGCTTTACACGCTCGGACTCGCGTTTGGTCCAATCGTCACTGCACCACTTAGCGAAAGAAAAGGCCGAAAAGCTGTCTATCTGGTGTTCTTCCCTATATTCATGCTGTTTACTCTCGGCGCAGGCTTCTCGAAAACATACGCGGGCCTGGTCGTGTGTCGATTCTTCGCAGGATTGTTTGGAAGTCCAGCACTTGCTGTTGGTGCTGGAACGAATGCCGATTTGTTCCCACCGCATAAGCGCGCCTTGGCCACGAGTTTCTACTTGATGGCTCCTTTCGCTGGGCCGTCCATTGGGTATGTATCGTCCAGAGTCTATTGCTCTACTAGATGTTGACGTGATAACAGACCCGTGGTTGGAGGGTTCGTGGCGCAGTACAAGACTTGGCCGTGGACGCAATGGTCCATTCTTTTCCTTGCGGTGGCTGTGTATGCCACATCTATACCAATGGATGAGACTTACAAGCCTATCATCTTGAAGAGGCGAATGAAGGAGAACGGAGTGCAAAAGAAACAAGAAAATGGAGATATCAAGAGCGAGATCGTTCTGAGGTTCATTCGGCCCCTTCACATGCTCTCAACAGAGGTATGATTGCAAGCCCCCGTGCATCTTTGTCCATGCTTGAGCTAAATATGCACAGCCTGTAGTGTTCTTCGTCTCGCTCTACACAGGTTTCGCATTTGCGGTGCTGTTTCTCTTCTTTGCAGCTTTCCCTTACGTCTTCTCACGTCCGCCATACTCCTTTACGCCGTCTCAGTCTGGGCTCACATTTATTCCCATCAGTATTGGCGTGTTTGTTGGAGGTATGACTACCATTGTCGTAGACCGCATGGTCTACATGAAGAAACACCAGCAGGCCACCATGAAAGGCAACCCAAACGCTGACCCGGAACATCGCTTATATAGCGCAATGCTTGGTAGTTGGGGTATGGTCATTGGTCTCTTCTGGTTTGGCTGGTGTGCTGATAAGGGCGTTCATTGGGCTCCGACTGTGGTGGGAGTTATACCTTTTGCATGGGGCAATATCTGTGTCTTCGTAAGTTGCGAAGCTCGAGTTCATGTTCCATTATCACTAACAGCCTGATTTCTAGACATCCTCTGCGCTCTACCTTGCGGATGTATATGGTGCGATGAACGGCGCGTCAGCTATAGCAGCGAATGGAATCGTCAGGTACACGCTTGGGGCTGTCTTCCCCCTCTTTACCGTGCAAAGTACGTCATCAAACATGGAACCAGCCGATGGCAATATCTGGAGCGCTGCACAAGCTAACATCTAACTCAGTGTATGATGCTCTCGGGATCGGCTGGGCAACATCTCTCCTTGGCTTCCTGTGTCTGGTTATGGTACCTATACCATTTGTGTTCTTCAAATTCGGGCCAGTTATCCGCGCGAAAAGCAGATTTCCAGTCGCCATGTAGAATGCATGCTTTGCGATGGTACTCGTTCCAACATGTAAATGAAGGCGGAACGGTGACCGTGAAGGAATGTGGACGGGATTGGACGCGCATCTAGGGCAATGCTGTAAAGCTTCGCAAAGCGATTTGAAAGGTACTGGAGAGCGAATGAAGTCTGATGATGCGTCAGTATACTAAAGACATGCTCGTGCAATGAGGAACATACTGGCGCCTTCGCAGACTTAGAAAGCAAATGATCACGCGTCAAGTAGGGGGGATTCTAGCGCGGGACCCGAGTCATGCTTTGAAATACAATTCGGGGTCGGCCTTCGCTTCGCATCTGCTGCTTGTAAATCGGTCCCTGGCTCGCATCACAGCTGAGATAATACAGTTTGCACGTTGCTCGATAGTGCCTGGTAGTGCGTTGCACAAGGCTGATGCCGCAAGTACTTGAGGCTGTAGATGGTCGCTGCTGCACACATAATCGCAACAACAACAACAACAACAGTCCAAATCCCTACGCTTTGCACTTTTCAATCACTCGAATATCTTTTCCTCTTACCACTTTCTCTGCCGCTATTTCTCGAACGCAACCTCTTCATTCTCACCATGGACCCCAACGCCTTCACGACCCCGTTCCAGCTCACCAAGTCGCTCAAGCGCGATGTGTACCCGGCCATCGACCCCAAGAACCCCACTCTCAGCGCCAAGGGCAAGACCATCCTGGTCACGGGCGCTACAGGCGGTTTAGGAGGCGTAAGACGGTCTGTCGTCGATCGCGCGAGATGGATGCTGACGCCAACGAATAGGAAGTGGCACGTGCCTGGGCTATAGCCGGCGCCAAGGGCATCGTGCTTGTCGGTCGCAACAAAGGTCTGTTGGCAGAGCCCGCCAGCGCCATCGCCTCCCTCAGCCCCGAGACCAAGGTCCTCAGTGCCACCGCCGACCTGACCAACGAGGCCGAAGTCCAGGACCTGTTCAAGAAGACGACCGATGCCTTTGGCATCGTTGACGTCGTGGTCCATGCCGCCGGTAGTATGGTGGGCGGACCTGTCGGCGACCTCGAACCCAGCGCTTGGTTCAGCGACTACGAGGTGAACGTCAAGGGCTCGTATATTCTCGCATACTACTACCTCAAGGCCGTTGAGTCCGGTACGCTCATCTTGCTGAACACGCTCGGCTCGTCCTTCACAGTTCCCGGCATGAGCGCCTACTCGGGCAGCAAGATGGCGCTGCTCAAGTTGGCCGAGTACCTGGACGCTGAGAAGCCTAATCTTCGCGTCTTCACCGTGCACCCTGGTATCGTCGCAGCGACTGAGTCAAAGCGCGGTATGGTCGTCGACCAGCTCACGCCGTTTGCGCACGACAAGGGCATCCAGACGGGTGGCTTATCGCTGTACCTTGCGCAGCCCAAGGCCGACTACCTCAAGGGCTCATTCCTCAGCGTCAACTGTACGTATCTCATTCTATACCAACTCTTTATCTACGACTGCTGATATTTTCCAGGGGATGTCGACGAGATGGAGGCGCATAAGCAGGAGATCACCGAGCAGAAGCTGCTCAAGCTTGGATTTCTGAACGCAAAGCTCGGTCCGGAGGGTCATCCGTGGTCCGCGTGACTTGAGGACTACAAGCCCGACGCGACTGATCGAAAGGTGGAGAGAGGTAGGAACAAGGAAGTGTTCGTGTAGTCAGGAACAGAGTGGTGCGTTTGCGAGCCGATCGATCGCGGGTCGGGTATGCTAGAGCGGTTCGCGCTTTGTAAGGGATGCTGGGTCATCGTGGGATGGCGACACATGATTTTCGGGGCAGTTCTCCAACATCGCTTAGATCACAGGTACCAGGCATATTGATACGGTTGCCATGTAGAAGTTCTGTCTGCGGTGATGGCCATGACGCTGTACGAGCTAAGATCCACTATGCTTACCTAATAAGTGGGCCCCGCTTCCGCCCCAACCTCCTTCCCTCCTGCCTTTGGGCGTCGCCTCAATCACCACAACAGCTCTACGTCCCCTCAAGCATCCCATGCCGTGAGGCTTTCTTCCCAGCCCCATGCCTGACGCATGATGTCGTATCGATCAGCAGTCCGAAAACGGAACCACCAAGCTGCCTTCTACGAGACACAAAAAACGCATGGACCGCGTACGACCTCGCGACACCCATGAGAGGCACTTCGAATCGAGGTCCTTCGTGCAGAAGTACAGGTCCCTGTGCTACTCGCTTTGACGCGAAGGTGTGACCTTATGACGTCGATCATCGAAGGTTCAGCACGCATCCGCTATTGAACAACATCAACGGCAGTCTCGATTTATCAAACCTCTTTCCGTTTGAGACATGCTTTTGTTGTTGCTGCACTGTCGAAATGCCGGGAAAAAATCTCGCAGCTCGCTATTATACGGCCCGTCGACGCGTGTTCGATTTATGTGCGCTGTGGTAACGCTGTATCCTCCCCTGTGTTGTACACTGTCATCAAGTCGTGCCATCAGGGTTCGTTTGAGGCTTACAAGTCGGCATTGATGCTTTAGTAAGCGCTATCGTTAGTTCGGTAAATTTTCCCGAGCTCCAACAGCCACGTTCACGGCCATGTTGCCGCCACGCTGCAGGTCACAGCAGCATCAGGTTTTGACTTCGCCTCAGAGCTTCTCGCGGCGCGAACGTTACATTTCCTCTTCTTTTTCATCAAGTCGCTCCATCGATCTCTTCGCTAGCGGATAGCAGCATCGTAACGTGGACCGGTGACGCCGGACCAGAGATAAACGGGGGGTCAGGGATCAGTAACTCGAGTCTACATTTCGTGTGATCATCATCACTTACGATACCCCCTCTATATTGCAAGGCTTAGTCACCGCGGTGACTTGTACGCGCTTGTTTTACAAAAGTACTGTCAACGCGTTGTGGCATCATTACGTCGGTGTCGATCCAAAAGCAGATTCTTCATGTCATGTGCACGTTTTCAATGCGCTCACCCAGATTCGGTTGCAAGCATACCAGATTTCAACTGCGTAAGCGTGCATTTTGTGCCCTGCGTTCACCCGGCGTCGCGCAAAGAACCAGGACAAAGGTTCCAAGGACCTCGTACCCGAGACATGCTTTGTCGGGTGGCATGTGCGAAATATGGCCTGACATTGGAACGATTCCTATGTTGTACAGAGCTCTTGACGGTGATGATATGAGCTATCATGGCTAGCCGAGCAGAGGGTGGTTCTCTCTCCTCCGACTAGTCTCATGACTGTGACGACTCGGTCATCTTCCGATGAGGGAAGACGTGGTTGTCTAGTTTCCACGAATTTAGTGCGGACTCCCTGATGCGTATTCCACAACCCAACGAGTCGGCCACAGCATTAGCTGTGGAACAGTGTTGACACTTGCGACCTTCTGACGCAACGGCGCTGTCTTCAAAGATATATCGGAGCACCCAGGTGCTGATTGGATCGCAAAAGAAAAGAAGCGGTGAAACTTAGCGTAGTTCTGATTGCCGTCTGCGGCATTTCCTGGTAGACGGAACGACTACCGCACTAAGGATGTGTCGCTTCATCTGCTTATCGGGAATGCGATCAGTACCTGGGCGTTCGTGGAACGTGAAGATATGAGACGTACACTACGTGTCCAGGGACCGGTCCGTCAACGTCCTGCTGGGTCAGGGGGGAGACTGTTCCGCGTACTCACCGCTGGATCGGGAAGGTTGGTATGCAGGCATTGCTCAAGTCGTTTGCGATATCTAGGAACCACACGCCGCCATAGAAGAGACAACATGCCGACACATGATCGGTGCGGCAGATTATTGAACTTGCATTCACCGGTTTGAGTCCAACCTTAGCTTGAGTTGAGGCTATTGTTACAACGCAGCGATGGTCACCTCAGATGCGTCAAAGGCACGAGTATGATTGGCGGAACAAGAGCCTGCTATCCGACGCGTGTCTACTGGCTGACCCCTGGCATTTCTTCATCACGATCACGATAGACCGGGCTCCCTCCAAGGCCGGTGAGTGCAACCCCAGAAATGACGACTACAGCATCATACGCTCCCAACAGCCATTCGCTTTGACGATAGTCACGCAGCTTCTCTTATCTAGTTCCCTGAAACGTCGCGCGAGTGCCAGCGCGACAGGCTGTTGCAATGTTCGCCAAAGACTGTGACGAATAGTAAGCATGCACATTGTCGACACGGCATCGAAGCAGATACGATATCATTGCAA